GTATTATAAACATCATAACATGGTGGTTGTGCCCAAATTACTGGGCTATGCCTTCAATTTACGCATGACTGTATGGAAAGTGGGTACAGCCAATGTTGGCTGATATGGTAAGATAGTTTATAGGAGCTTTCCAAATGTGGATTTCATTTCCGTGTTAGTCTCCAAGCTTTCTGATTATGAATTTAATAAAGAGTGAAAGGGAGATTGCTTCGGTAGACCAGGAAACCCTAGTGTCTGATTAGTCTTGTCTTCACTGCAGTGTCTGAATATGTTGTCATCTATCCATAGGGCAAATTGCAGGATGACTTGGCCACTGCGTATCGGCCCAGACGAAGCCAGCTCGCTGCAGACAGCCCCGTCACCATAGCAACACTCATGGCTGCCAGAGAAGGTAATCTACCATGGTGGTATTATTTCATTTTTGGGGGAATTTGAGTCGTGTATATAATCACATTGCTCACATTCTAAGCTTTTATTTGATATATAATTCACCCCAGTGGCATTTTGCGTTTTGAAGTTATTTGCCATTTACATATTCATATAATTTCATTTTATCACATGCTTTTTGAGATAATGCTCTTTAAACATAACAAAGAGAAACATTTAACTTAAATTAGACACTCTCTTGGTTTTCCTTAGCAAGGGAGGCTTTCTGGTCAAGCAATTGGCCTCAAAATATTTCATTCTTGGCACATGGAATGGGCCATTAGGCATTTATGCATTGCGCGACTCAATACACCTTTTGCAGAGCAGGTCACATATATTTTGCAAGTTGTGGTTTAAGACTGGAAATTTAACTGAACAGGGATTTGAACCAGCAACCTCCAGAGCATAGTACTGGTGCAGAACCCAACAAGTCCATTGCATCACACATTGATAGGCTCCAAAAAATAATTTTCAGCGTCAGCCATCAACCACAAAGTCACGTCTGGGAAAATTTTTCATATGTCAAATGTTGCAGCCTTGAAAACATTCACTGATTTGTTCCTTAAAGAAACAGGCCTCACAAATTGGCCATATTTATTCTCCTACCGCTCACATGAAGTTTTAAAGCTGTAGTCTTTTTTTTTAAAATTTGTCTAGATTTGGCAAAGCTGAGAAAAACCAGCAGTGGATCCGTCAGGAAGAACACCAAGTGTCCTATCAATAGAGTCCTCATGGGACACGTAAGTGTGAGCAGGTGGTTTAGGCTATGGACGCTGTGCACAAATACCCCCTCATCACAAGCGACAGAGATTGGCCAAGCTGGCACTCTGGAATGCCATTTCTGCCTTGCAGCCAGCTCAAACACAAAGAGGCTGCAGGTTTGAGTACATTCGGATGAAACATGGACGTTCACATCCCACATCATTCAGTTGTGTTTTATAATGCACCTTGACATAAAGCACCTTCCTTACTGATACAGAAGAGATAGGTGGGTGGAATCGTATCTGGGCTCACGAAGGTCATACATTCCAACAGAAATTGATTGCGTGTCCCCACACCAAATACACATCAACCTATGCTCACATGCCCTGAGTTTTCACTGAAGGACCACAATTGCCATGTAAAAGCCTGCGGTTTCTGGTTTCCATTCAGAATGGATACCATAGCGGAAATGTAAGTGTTTCCTATTACTCATGAAATAAAACTCTCCCGTAGACTATTAAACACAGGCACTTGCCACCAATGGTAATAGGCTATCATTATTTTTCTGATAATGACCCCAAGGATTCTTCAAAAGAGCCCTAGGTACTGTAGCTTGCAAACCTGAAGAAACCTGTAGACAGGAGACAATGAGAAGCAGTTACAGTTTTAGAGGTGGGAAGAAAACCCCAGAGGAATATTCTGGGTAAAACCCACGGAATCAGGTAGGGACTGACAACCCAATCCACATGTGGACCGAGCCGGGAATCGAACCCAGACCACAGAGATGGAAGGCGAGGAAAGAACCACTACGCCAACCTGACCCCGGAGGAAAGAGAAACATCCTTCGTTCCTTTCTGGTTCAGTCCTCTCTGGTATAGTCAACCATGTGTACACGGAGGTGTGCATCAAGTAACAATCTTCCTCATCGGGGAATCTGCTGTATATTTGGGGGGGAGGGGGGCTGAGTGCCAGGTACAAGTAGAGTGTGATTTTCATCCCCTGTCCTCTCCGGTTGTCATCGGTGCGCAGACAAAGGGTATGCATCAAGGGTCTTTGGTCGAGTTCATCACAAGTTCAATTCTGAGTCCTTTCAGAAAGTCTAGTCACAAGGCCAGGCCCAAGTAGCTGGGTGAACAATGACAACGGAGTGATTCTGTCGCAGTTCATGTCCTGTGATAGATTTGTCATGGCCTTGGCTACAGCCCTAGTACTTCATGAATTTCGTGTCTGACAGACAAAATGGCGTGCATGGTGTGGATATCATGCAGAAGTTATCAATGGCGCAGTGTGGCCTTGCTCTCTGCTTGCAAGGAAGGACGTGTATGCGCTGCTTGCAGGCGAGCGAATGCAACCACTCACGAGCGTTGAGAGCGAGCAATTAGTTGCCACAGGAAGGACTGGCATTTCAAATGCCACCAGGAAGTCACACACACAAAGCAGATAAAATTTAGTCTGTTCACTCGTGCATTAAAATCAGAGCTCGGTGTTGATGAAAATGTTTGATCACTAGTTTGGCCCATCTCTAACAGGTCCCAGACAGGGGAGGGCGCCCTCTGGAGGCCACCCCACCACCGAAAGAGATGCCAGCATTCAAGCAGAGGACAGAGCAGCCCAAGGGTCAACGTCCTCAAAGTGAGTTTGTCGTGTCTCAGGAGTAGGTAGTGTTCACGAATATCAATTGACTCAGACCAACTTCTCTTGAAAACTACAAATTTTAACTTTTTAGGCTTAGTCTGAATAACGTGGCGACTTGCTTAGTAACATTGCAGATGAAGTAAATACAGGCACTTGCTTGGCGATTCCATTGGCAGCAACCAAGTAGTTCATATGCAGCCGAACTTCTGACAAATCTGACTTTTTTTCTTCTTTTTTATAAGCCAATTGATACTCTATTGATTCCGTTATGTGCGGGGCTGCATACCCGCGGGTAATAGCAGTTTGTTTTACTTTTGCAAGACAAATAACTGTTATTTGTCTTGTTATGTGTTCGGATTTTTGTCCCTGGTCCCTGCTGCTGCTAACATTTACTTGTATCTGTGTTCTTGTTGGTTTTTATATCCTTTTTGTTCAATTTGGCTTTGTTTGTTCTTGAGATGGTCAAATAAATAATAATACACTCATCCCTTGGAAACTATTACTGTCTAGAGTGTCTTCAGATTATTTAATTTGGTAAATTCAAGCCATAAAGTGTATTGACACAGAGTCATCATTTTTACTTTAAAATGCTACTTCTGTTGAAAAAAAAAAAGGCGAATCCCTGCCGCAGTTTTCCTCCCAGAATTTTAGTAGAGTCAAGAACAGTGCAGTCGGTTATCTGTACTGAGCGCTGGAGCATCAAAGCAAAGTGCCTCAAGAAGTAGTTACATAGTTGGCTAGTGTTTTGTTAAACAGGCTGTGATCACCGTGTGCATAGCGAGACATCTTTAACAACACCGTCCACCTACCACTTGATTATATGCATCATCTCTTTGATACAGGTGTCATGTGAATGACTTTTTACATTGTTTCATGGTGACATTTTAGCAAGAAATATCATCGTGCACTTGGAGTCTCTTTCTTGTATTCACTGACTTCATCCCCAGTGAAGGGCTACAGAGTCTTACTTGCAAACTTGTTTTTCCATTGCAGGTGGTCGTGGCGGTGGCAAAGTACAAGGAGGTAAGATGGAGACAAACGTCTCTGGTTCATTTAGTTTGTGTAGGAGGTATGGATGGTGTCACAAGGCCGCCTTATGAAAGCAGGGGCTTTTCACAAATCTTAGCTTTGTTTCTCAACTTGAGATCAACGATTGGTTTCCAATAGTCTCTACTTGAACCAAATACAAATTTTCGAAGCATTGACATCGTGTCAGACAGTTGGAGTTTCTGTAAAGACCAGCAAACCGCCAGTCTTGGTTCCAAGTCCTTCCGGTTGCTCCATGACACAAACCATCACACGTACTTGAATGAACATACATGTGCATGTACATGTACAGGGCACTATCACATCATGAATCGTTCTCACAGGGAGGTCTGGGATATTTTGTAAGGTGTTGGGCAGCAACAGATATGGTAATAAAGGTAGGATATGCATTATTCATATCATGTGACTTACGATCGGCAGAAGTTACACAAATGACTTTCACCATGCTTCGTGTTCACAAAACTCTGGGAAAAGCTTGAGTACATCAAGGTGTTTTGTTTTTGCATAAACGTCGATATAGGGCCTGTTTGTTTCAGGCAGATGCGGATCGCGATCAGTGATCTATCGTTGGTTCACTGACATCAGAACCTACCAAATGGATGAGGCGAACCAGCTCTAGGATCACTGGTCATGATCCAGATCCTTGTGAAACAAACAGGCCCAAGGAACACAAGAAATGGGTATTTTACGAGTTGTCTTGAGGTAACCCAAATGTATACCATAGGCACCTACTCGATCTGCATTGGGGCCCTCCAATCCTCTGATGATTATTTCATGTTCGTCCAGTCTCACTCCTTGTACCAGTCGATCACTAGTCAACGACTTTTCGGTCACTAGTGCTTCAATTCCAGTCAATCACAACTTCTGATTTTAATATTTCAGCGTCGAGCTGCAGGCTTTTCTAATGGACCATGATGAGGGCATACCTCTATTTCTTTGGCCGTGATTTATCCAACAACTTGTGAACTGACTTTCGACTTGGCTTATGATTGGCTGAAATGCGTCCGTGTTTCAGGTGTCAAACTGACACAGAAGTCCCATCATGTCGGGTTCAGCCAACAATTAAAATTCTGTTTAACTTGCCATGTTTTACAGGATGGTCCAAAGGGGAGGGCAGAGGAAGAGGAGGTCAAGGAGGAGGATGGAATCAAGGAAACCAATCAACCAGTGGTCGGTACCAACAGGGTGGGGGTGGGTACCAGCAGGGTGGGTACCAGCAAGGTGGGTACCCACAAGGTGGTGGGTACCAGCAGGGTGGGTACCAGCAAGGTGGGGTTGGGTACCAGCAGGGTGGGTACCAGCAAGGTGGTGGTGGGTACCAGCAGGGTGGGTACCAGCAGGGTGGGTACCAGCAGGGTTTGGTGGGGGTGGGCATGGGGGTCATCAAGGCAGAGGCCATAGAGGAAAGGGCAAAAGAGGTGGGAGGTATTAACAGCTGGCCCTTTCTGTGGTTCTGTTGGTCATTATCATGATGAATATCGACCATATTCAGTTAAATATTTACCCTTTGCTGAATCTGAACAAGTTCTGTAATTGGATGTAGTTAAAGCCGCGTAGCTTTTTACGCCAGCAGCAAGTTGGGGTATGTCTTGTGTGCCGAAGGCACTTGTCAAACTAAAATCCTTCCTGCATGTCTTCAAAGCAGAGCATTTGTGTGGTTGATGTACAGTGGGGGGTTGAAAAATGAAACTATTGTTCAAATCTCATGCCATTATTCTTGCAAAATGAATGTGGCCAAACGTCAAAAATTACCCTGGTGGAAAAGTTACACTAAAGCTCCCTTTTTCTAACCATAGTTTCAAACTCTTCCCCAGAATAGGGGTACATGTTGCTAAGATTGCCTGCAGGTAATGCTGGATGATGATTACCAAGCAGATTTGGTTTATACTGTTCTGATGCTAAGTAGATACATTAGGTTCTCTTTATCAATACGTTTGAGATTACAAGATGAACGGTCTGAACCCGAGGAAAGTTATAAATATATGAGCACAGATATGTCAAAAGAGTGTGCAGCAGGCAATGCAAGTCTTACGTGAATGACTGCATCGTGTACTTCATTGAAAGAATTCAAAAAGTCTTTTATATAACGGGTTTTGCCCTTTCTTTCAAGATTCAAGAGAGGAGTAAAACTGAGATTCTTCTCCATGTGATTTGCAAAGAATGTCGGTCTCTAGGCAGACAAATGACTTGTGAAATCCCAGAAATTCTGAGAAAAAGTCTTTAAATCTCCAGTTCAGATATAAACCGTAAATCATCTGTAGTCAGTGTAAAGTATCATTTATTTACATATCTGTTTCACTGCTAAAATTTTTCAAGTAAAGAAAATCAAGGAAGGAAAAAAAGGTATGTTACATATGGATGCATTCAACGATAAGCACAAACTTACCAATGTGTGGCTGTACGTTAAAGGTTTCCTTCAACTGCATGAAATGGTTAAACCCTAAGGCCCTTAAACTGCTGAAACCACTACAAACAAGTTTTCCCCCGTCTTCAACACAATTTACATTTCTAAGATATCAAACACGAATAAATGTACTTTCCCTACTTGACCCAACCAATCAAATAAGTCACAAGTCACTGGGTTACTCTGATTAACAAATCACAAATAAATGGTAGTTTTATTTGTTCTGTGTAAATCTGCGCATAGTCACAAGGACCTTGAATCATATGGTACAACGGACTGGAGAGTAGAGCATGCTCTAATGCATGTGCAAGTGAAGGAGTGAAAAATCTGGGATCCAATTTTATTGGTATATTGTTGTATTTATGCTTGAGCCATTAAAATAAAATGTATTATCAGCGATTATCTGTGGTATTGTTGGGTGTTGTCAAAGTTATAACTCATCTTATTTCACATAAACCGGGATGGTAAATCCAGCGTTGATTACCCCCAAATCAATTCATACAGCTGATCATCGGGGTGTGGACTGATGGTGTGTCATGCTGCCCTCTCGGGGTTTTTTATAGATTTACAATTCCCTCGTGATTTTCTTGATCATGCAGTGGAGAAAGAAAATCATATATGTCAAATTTAAACGTGTTAAAATACAGATTGTCCCAATGGTTTTGAGTTTTCCATTTTTATACTCGCAATGGCTGTAGGTCCAAAGCACCAGTAATCCATGTTATTTGCTGGTCAATTTAAACTTCAAGTTTTCCATTTCCTACTAGTCAAAGCACCAATAAATTTGATTTGTTGGTCAAATTTGAACTTTGGCAAACTATAAATTTCCCCCTTAGATCCTAAAAATGTCGCATGCTCTGACAATAGAAATCTTCACCTTTGGTCTTACGATAGTCAAAATACATTTCAAAAATTCAAATTAAATCGTTTGAATAGCTGAAAACAATGCATGAAAATTAACAGGCTAGTGTTTGTCTTTGACACTGCTTCTTTTGGCAGTTGATTTTTGCGACTGTACAAACATAAAGCTTGAATCACTTGTCCACCCTGTCTCATCACATACACAGAAAAAAAATGTATGCTCTTTTGCAAGAGTATGGAACTGAGATGCAGTGAAACTTGATTTGTCTTGAACACAGCTTAATTAAATAAGAAATAATCTTCACAACTGAAGCAGGTTTGGTATGGGCAACTCGGCCTGAGAAATTGTTGTCCTTGAACAACATCACTTGTTTTATTAAGGACAAAAAACTGTCCCTGGTCTGGGAAACACCTTGTCCGACTGTCCTGAAAAACTTCACAATTTGAAAAGTTCTCCAGCAATTTATGTACAATCAAATTCTATGCTACTCCCGTTAAAAGTTGCTTTTTATCCTTTTGGATGTGTAACTTGACAAGCAACAAAACCCACTGTGCATTTGCAAGCACAAGACCCAACAGATGGCCCCAAAACTGACTGTTGCCCCTCCTTATCAGTTAATTTAAAAACAAACTTCATATCATCAGGACTTGCTTTACTGTTAGCCCATAGAGCTACAACCCATGGTTAGCCAATGATTACAATCCAGTGATAAGCTCCCCTTGCATAATAGTGTCAACAAGGAGGGTGCAAGCACTAATGTACATATCATCACAAATACAAAGTTGGCCAGTCACCATCTCTCAGAGTGGACCCCAGTGTGCCTGGATTTGCAGGAACACTTCATTCTATAAGCAGGACAAATTCAAGGCACACAAAAAACTAAAGTGACACTGTGCTTATGGTTACTCACCCACCTGTGAAATATTTTTATATTGAGCACAGCCATGACTGTTCTGGACACCACTTAACATTTACCATCTTTAATATTATAATCTAATCTTCAAGAAAAGAGTTTTCCCGAGCCCATCAATAAACATGTACTGCTTATCCTGGGATCCTGGAGTGCTTAAGCCAACATTTTGAAATGCTGTAGAGATAAAAGACAATGACACAAGGACAGTGTTTTGAAAAGATGGTACAGAATACATCCTAAGATTCAGTGAGCAAAATAATAATATCACAACCCTATTGATACTCTTTATCAGCTTAAAATGCCTCACAACTTCTTAAGTTTAAATACTGGTTATAAATACATTTTTGTGACGGTGGGGAATAGGTGTGAGTGTGCCTGACAAAGGTTAACCATTACTCCTGAGATCTATGCAATTACAACTCCATAGAATCTCATATTTTAAAACACAGTGAGGGTCAATCTACAATTAGAACCAAAATGTCTGTCTCATCTGACTCCAAGACAAAAATCATTCCACAATGAAACAGGTTGATAGGTCACATTTGTAATCATTTTGATCATCCTGTCACCGGAACCAGCTTCTTCCAGTAGTCGGCATTTCCTGCTGACAGAAGAAATAAACATAAGAGCTAGGAAACATTTGTTTTCAGTATTAGCCATCCTGTGCTGAACAAAATTTGGCTTTGTAAAAACGAGGAGCAACACATATGCCCCCACGTACATTGTATACACATTTATACTATGAAAATGGAAGGATCTGGTTGAATGCAATTCAGAGAGATGACTTTAAGGTAATACTATATAAACAGATGTGTAAAATAAGTGTCAATAATTCTGCTGTAATCTACAGCAGGCCAAATCTTTATCTGCCTTACTTCGTATGTACAACTTATTTACACAACACCCAATACAAAAGCCAAAAACTGCTGCATCATCGGTCTCGTTATGGTCATTTTTGGCAAAGCCGGACACAAGTTATGTGTGCCCTGAATCTGGAGTCCAAAAATACTTACCTAAAAAACAGGCACTCGCTGCAGTTGAAGTGTCGGTGGGACGTTGCTAAATTTTGGGTGTGCCTCCATCTTCAGCATCAAACGTCAGTTTCAGCAATTTTTAAAATGGTCCCCCTGAATTAAGACCCTTCAGTCCAATACACATCCATTTGCTGTCACACACAGATTGCGCTGTCTCATAAGAGAGCAGCGTTTTTATTTAGGTTCAAAGTAGGGAATTTTTAATCAGACTTTAGAATGCAAAAGCCAAGAGGCCATGGTATGATAGATTCAGTAGTGGATCAACTTTAATTTTCATTTCACAAACAAAATTTGTGCTTTTCTCCATTGTGACCCTCACCCATGACATTTTAGTTTGAAATGCAATAATAGGCTTGTGAGATTACCAAGTCATTGCAAGAGCCACATATTTGAAGTTCAAATGACCAACATTTTTTCATTAAACTATGAACCCCCGATTCCAAATAATGCAATGGATTTCCCCTACAATTAACTGTAGGGGAAAAAATGGAACTTGAGAGTTTTCTTTTTTTTTTTTAATTATTCCTGCCCTCAGACACACTGCAAAATTTAATGTTATGTTCGTTGTATCACAAACAAAGAAAATGCTGGCCTATGCAAAATATTTCTCAAGTTATCCCTTGACAAAGATTCCTTGACAAGATTTGCATTATTTCTGAGTTATTTAGTCACACTTAGCTTTGACTTTTTTGGATTATTAGGATCAATCAACAAACCAAATCTGAAGTTCATGCACGGCAAGTAATTCTCAATTCTCATCACACTGACAACAGTATACCAGATACATACATGCACCCAAACAGATACCGACCCATTGACGAGCGAAGAGGAAACAGTATGACCCTTCAACTTTGTCAGCAGGGTATAGAAATAATAAATTGTAACTTGACATTTCAATTTGAGCAGTCTGTGGTTTATACCCTTTACCCTTTGAATTTATAATCAAATGTTGTCCTAATTATGCAGATCAGAAAATTGCATTTGGACTGGCTTGCCTGCTAGTGTATTTTATAGTTCACCAAGATGGCCGAGGTAATCAAGTTAACTAGATGCTAATTCTTGTAGTTCAAATGGCCTGAATACCAAAAATTGCTAGCTATCCAAACAATCTGCCGTAAATCTATAAAACAAAAGCCGAAATGCACAACCAAGCAGGGATCATTGCCTTATTAAAACTGTTGCACATTATGCAGTAGAATCATTCAGTGTTGATGGAAACCGCTCTCTTCTCGAGCATAATTGGATACTGTTTGCCTGCCCCCTGCATCACCTATTGAGCATGTCGTGGCTGTAAATATGCTTCTATGGTGCTTCATAGTTTGCACTTTATCATCCTCCTGATGCCATGAGCCACACAATGCAGCATACTATAGAAGCAGTAGGTTTTGCTGGCAGAGACTACTATAAGAAAGAGGTGATTCAAAGCCACCCCACGTCATTTGCCATGTAAAATACATGATATTGGCCCCCTTAAAATGTGGTTTTTTTAAATGCCAGGTACATGTGGTATGGGGGCGGATCCAGGATTTTCCAAAGGGAGGGGGGCGTGATCCTGGATTTTCGAAAAGGGGAGGGGCATGAACTAAAGCAGTAATGGTAAAATGCCTGTATGCCCCCCCCCCACCGGGGCCGGAGCCATTTTGTATTGCAGGCACTCTCTGGTGCAATTTCAGGCAGGATGACCCCACTTTTTTCTTCTCTCTCCTTTTTCTTCTTTTTTATTTATTTATTTTATTGTTTTTGGTAAAAAGGGGGCATGCACCCCTCCCCCGATCTGACCCTGGGTATGTATATGGATCCATCTCCAACTGTGAATCGCTCACTCTGAAAGGGCAAGTATTTTTGACAAAGCACACTGACAACAAAATAACTGATTCAAAGCTGCCACGCTTCATTTGAAAGTAAAAAATCAAAGATCGTATAGCGCCGAAGGCGCCGCTTTGCGGCGCTATACGATCTTTAGTAAAAACTGCCAGGAAACATCATTGTCCGTGCTTGCAGGCAGTGCGTTCTTATGGTGCACCTGATGGCTGTAGGCCCCCTACTTCATCCAAATGAGTAAACACCATTTTTGGCCTTTGCATGCAATGCAGTGTGCACGATATCGACATTTAATGTACGGTCTTCTGGTAAATTTATGGCAAATGAAGTAGTTATTTGTGTGGGTGTATTTGTGGTCAAATGGGGTATTTATAAGCCTGAATGACACAATCAAAGGTGCTCCTGATGTTGAAGCCAACAGACAGGGACTGGTGTTGTATCAAACATTACTTTACAGCTAAATGGATGACTTCAGACTTTCATGTATTTGTACACGAAGTTTTTTGGACAAAAGGACTTGGCCAAATACCTTTCAAATAATTTCATTCATCAAACAAATAGGATAACATGAAGTTTCCGTTGATTTCTTTATTTTACTTTTGTGCATATTTACTTGAGCTTTGTTCACACTTCATGGTTGGCTGTCAACTTTTTACTTGACAAGGATTACACTGCAACACGGACAGGATTGCATTTGATTATGTTTAGAAACAGTGGAATGAAAATGAAATCGTTGTGTCAAGCGTGTCAGCTGAGGACAAAAACAGATTCAAAACAAATCAGTTTTTCCCAGCTTCTTCCTAGATCAATTAATAAGAACACAACCAAATCAACTTCAAACAGTCTGAAATTAAACAGTCCTGCCTCCTTTTTGAACATACAAATTTTGTCTAATTTCCTCAAAAATGGGGAAAAGTCCAACCAGGAAATTCTACCTTCTTAACTGATACAGAAGGCTAATAACGAGCTTACAGCCATCTGTTCAAGTTGAAACCTTGAGCTAATTAAGACCAAACTCAGTCACAATATTGACACGATAATGGAAGCTACACCATTCAATATTTGAAGCTCCTCTTTAATCTGCTTAACTCACATAACCTCATCAGACTGTGCAAACATTTATTTCAAATCAGGTGAGAAGACTTACTCAAATGCATTTTGTGCAAGAAGTATCTTTTTTAATTCCCTAAGCAATCCAGACTGAACTCGCTTGCAAAATGGTAAATTCTTGCCCGCTGTAAGACAAATCTCAGGTAAACCTCAATATTTTTGTGACATTATTAAATCCTGGAATCTATTTAAAAAGCGAAGCCTTTGAATGTTTTGAGGACGTTGACCCATGCCAAATCTCAATACATTTGGTTCACTGAAAAAACAAGGAAAACAGGACAAACGAAAATGGCAAGATCATAAGAATGTGTGTATTCAGATGCCAGGCCATATGAAGATGTGGCCTAGCAGCCATATGGACTGATACAGTGTGGATCTCGGAGGCCAACAGGGGCCATAGAAATAGGACTATTTGGGGATGGGGAAATCAGAATTAGTTGATTGTGAGTGACCATTCACTTTCCTGCGTAAAAATAAAATGTCCCAAACCTTTGTCTCACCCCTCAGAAAAGTCACAGAAAGTTACAATAGAAGTGCCGACATTTTTGACACCCCCCCGAAACATTTCCCCTCCCCTGCCCTCGAAAATTTGGTTCGTGGTTCTCGTGGACCTTGAACAGTGCTACGGGATGGCAGACACGCCATTTTTTTTCAATGAAGCGAAACAAAAATGTAGACGTAATTAGGTAGAGGTTTTAATGTCCTAAATACAAAGATTACCAACTGTAGCCTGGACCAAACCGCGAGCAAATAATCCTTTTGTATACTTCAATTACATATATTTTATTTGATTACACTTTTCCACTGGCTATTGTAAAACAAGACAAGAAAAATTAATACATTAAAAACATATACATAAAACATTTGACATGACACAACAATCAGATGACGGGTATAAAAAACAACATGCTAAAAAGCCAGTGACTGGCAAGATGGAGCAGGTGACCAGCACCTCTACAGAGCCATCTTACCGCATGACGACCACCCCCCCCCGCAAAGAAAATAAAGCAAGTGGGAATTTATTAATTCAACCTGCACGGAATGCATGCAGCGATTTGTGTTCTGCCTATTGTGCACGAGATACAGAGATGCACGTAGAACGAAACCGTGAAGTCTCCCCCGGCCCCCGTACCGTACGAAATCTCTCACTAGTGACGAGCCGCCAAGACCTGGACATATGTGCCAATTCCTTGACCGGCCTTGGGTCGTGCAGGACACTGGGCTCAGGCCGCACGGTGTGGTGGCCTGACGGGGTTGTTCAAGCACAGAAAGCAACGACCCGTTTCAAGGTTCAGTGCGTCGGCCTGAGGTTTCATTGAGTGAAAAAAGGACATTGGATTATCCGGCCACGCATAGAAAGTAAAGAGACGACCGTAGCCGTCCGCCTCAACAACGTGCAGATCAACGAGCAGGAGAGTCAGTGTGAGTTAATGCTTTACGGTCACCCAAGCAGAATGACAAAAGTGAGTTGGAAATGGGAATTGTGATCGTAGATTAGCTTTATAACACAAACTAAAATGAGTTATTTCAAAGGAAGACCGGCATTATGATCATGCTGAGATAGCACCTAGCGTAAAATTTCCGCAGCTGTACTCAATACCTGTAGTCCGAGTTCTAAGTCGCCTTGTCGGGCGACTATTGTTAAAAGTCATTTGTTGAGCCCTTTTTGTGTCTAAAATTTTAGACGGGGTCTGGAGCATATTAATTATTATGTCCGGCGTATTGTTTTCATTATTAAACGTGTTAAAGATCGCTAGTATTGTTGTAACTTGTACGCTGCATGTAAATCATGTATTAAAATAAGAGGGAGTGTCTGCCTAGTGATGGCGGGCGGGCACTCGGTCGGTCAGTCCATAGAGAAAGGACAGTTCGTGGTCTGTCTGTTATCTTCAAACAGCATGTAGGGCCTATATTGGTAAAATTACCCTTGCAATCTTGGTGTGAAGAGAGAGAGTGTAAAATGTTTACCTTTTTGCTAGAGATAGTATACATGAAGGACCGTGGTAAATATTGATACGACCGTGCAGGGCATACAGCGCATACATATCAGCCGTGCGAAGCGCGCTGAGAACTGTAATCGTCCACTTTCTTCCTTCCAAATTCATTCACCGATTTCAGCCAAATTTGGACATAATCTAGCTTGGCTCGCTAGCCTGTTTGGCCAGTGGTCACCTAGTGGTCATTTTCCTTCAGAATTACAAAATGCTTCTTCCACAACCTCGGTCCACTTATTGTCAAACTCAGTCAGTGGCATCTCTGGACCATGCCTCCTAAAATTTGTTTATAGAATTTGTACAGTGGTCATCTAGTGGTCACTAGTGGTCATTTTCTTCAAAACTGCGAATTCCTTCTTCCACAATCTTGAGCCAATTATTGTCAAACTTAGTCAAAAATATCTCTGGACCTAGTGTCCTAAACTGTGTTCGTAGAATTTGGCCACTGGTCACCTATCAGTCAGCAGTGGTCTTTTTCTTCAAAATAACTAATTGCTTCCACCCCCCACAGTGTTGGTCCAACTACGGTCAAAATCAATCATTTACAGCTTTGGAACAAGCTTCAGATTAGTTGTTCACAGAATTTGGCAACTGGTCACTTAATGGTCATCAGGGATCATTTTCTTTCATTGCATGGTTGAATACTTGCCAGTTTGGCTATATCTATCGGTATCTGCCACCTTTCTTTGCCGATTTCAGCCACATCTGAAACTAATCTTCCTTGGCACGATTCCTGTCCTAATTGACCAGCGTACAGGGTCAAGGGTCACCAAGTGCTCACTAGTGGTCATTCGCATTAAAAATACAACATAACTTTTCTCACCCCAGTCATTACTCAATCAATCTCAAATTAGGGCGGTTACATCTTTGCAGGAAACACCATGTGGGTGGTTAACAGAATTCGGCTGATGGTCACCTAATGGTCAGTGGAGTCATTTTTTTCCAAGATGTTTTTGTACTGGTTGTCAAAATATAAAACTTGATCGTTTTAATCTCTGCAGCAAGCCTTATTTGTACAGTTTACACAGAATGCAGCCTGTGGTCACTTGGTGGTCCGTGGAGGTCACTCAGTTTAGATCAAACATAACCATGGTCTACTAAGTTATTCAGCCAAGATCCGTGAATGTATATGTACCACGTGTATTTAGCCTCACACAGCAACGCACATTACGCTAACCAGCCACTGGCCAACATGTGTTGCCCGTTTCATGTATACACTACTATTGATAGACAGATTCGCTGATGCTATTACGGCAGTGTACCGCGGTGTCCCTGACACTCACGCGTGCAGCGATGAAAAAATTGAATCTGGTCCGTACCTCTAATATGTAGCCAATTCTGTGCAAAGCCTGTTTCCAGAACCACACTAGACACCATTTGCATAGGCAGGAGGAATGACCATGTTTAAGCTGGACTTGCCAGTAGTCAACTTGTGTGCACCTTCAACATTTCCAAAAGCTGTTCACGGCTGATATATCCGTGCTTCCTGAAGTACATAAGCTCTAGTTACTACATGAATTTGCTGGCATTTTGCCACTCGCTACGCTGCTTAAAATTTTCAAGTGTGCACCCCCCCCCACCACTTTCTGAACTACATGTATTTTGATTCAAGGAAAATTTCCTTGAAAAAAAAATTTCGGCATACACCAGTCTGACAGAATAAAATTAACTGGCGGGGCCAGAGTAGCACAGAAACTGGTCGCCATGCGCCACACATTACACAGGTCATACGGGAAACAGACTGCATATCGATGGCTCCATGTACACTATGTTCTGTCATTTTTTTATTTAAAAAATTATAAAAAGTCAGCAATCAAAAAAAAGAAGTCATTTTGGTAAGAGTTCCATGTTCAGTTATCACTTATCTTCCTTTGCAGTGTTTATGAGTCATCAGAAAATGATAAAATGTCTTTAAATGTTACAACATGAAAATATTGAAGCCATTGGGCCAGTCCAATGTGAACAGGATGTTAAGTAATGTTCTCGTGTGAAAATCTTTCCGGCGTCTTTCATTTTTTAAATAAAAAAGGAAAAGAAAATCAAACCAATTTTTCTCTTTTATCTTACTTGAAATGAAAATGGAGGAATCACACAAAGAGGTTTTTCCTGTTTTCCATGTTGAAAATGACCTGATACGAAAATCAAAACTTATATCTTTGAAATACTTTTAGTCTCAATTTAATTTTACTGGACCGGAATTTAAGAGTAGACTGAATGAAGTTTTCTTAGATGCAATTTTTCTGGAACTTTGTACTTTTTCATTATATGAAAATTCTTTTACATTCCTATTAGGCAAATGCTATTTGAAAAGCACATTTTGAAACAATCAGCCAATTCCTGGAAAATTTAGGGTGCTGTTCCTCTGAAGTCATAAAGGGAAGATGTACATGCAGTTTAGTGCAAATCAATGTGACATAGAGCCTTTCTTCTTGGGATGACAGCACAGCTTTGCTCATGAATCAAAATACTCATGAATCGAAATACTCGTTAACATAAAAACCGAAAAGGTTGTAAACTACCTTTGTAATAAAGAAACAAAAGTTGAAAATAAGATTAACTGAGACACAAAGGTGTGTTTTGAAGGCTTCTATTAAAACATACTGGTTGCAGCCACTGTGTAT